AGAGTTGAACCCCCATAGGGACGCTTTTGTACTGCAGCACAATTTCCCTTTTTTCTTTATACTGATGGAGATTTGACTGCCATACACCCTACAAGTGAACTGGTGATGACTTCACCGAATCTCACATTGTCTCCAATGTTCCCCGTTTAGTATTTGAAAAAAGCCCTACCTCTACTTGGGTATTTTTTGTTCACGTTGTGCACATTACCGTGCACAAGTGCAGAATTTCACAATGTGGTGTCATTTGATGTTCAAATTGTCCCAGAAAGTTCCCATAAACAGTTACCTTGTCAGAGAAAAAATGGCCTTTATTTTGGCACACAATATACATATAAGTCCACAGGTGTCCACGTAGTCTGAGTACTGAACATACAGTGTACATAAATATTCCTGCATGCAGACTTGCAGTACATACCTGCACTGCCCGTTCAATATTTTTCAGTACATTCACACAGCTTTTACAGATCAGTTTGCCCGGCAGGGCTTTGAGTAAAATCCCAGTCAATCCAGGCGGGCTGCCACAAACAACCTGGAAACAGCGGAAAATGCCAGGGTTAATCAAGCCTAAACTACTGCACACATGCTGAAATCCCTTTACTGTATTGGCATAGTATATTGGTTGGGTAGTTTTATTTCCCTTAGGCCAAGACCAATTGAAACCAGTTACAATGTACTCCATAATTGCTATAGCACATGGCTTGAACATGTCCTTATATCAGGGTGGCTGATTTGCATTGTGACTGAGCAAAGTATGGAGCACAGTTACTGGCGAAAAAACTCTGTTGAGTTGTTTGTCAGAGAGAAGCCAGTGAACATTATTTGATGATGAAGAAAAGTGCTTGAAGCTTCCAGTGCATCAGAGTTTCTAGCTGTACCTTGAGTACCCCTCTCTCCACAGAGGTGGATGTAATTAATTGATTTCCTGTTTAGAGCCATGACTTGTAATCATATTTTCTTTTGTATCAAATGTTTTTAAGATTATCAAATAAAATCAACATTTAGTCCCATGTTGTTTTGTTTCATTGGAAGAACGGTCTTCACACACTTAACACAGTTTTGTCTTTGACATAATCTAGTGTTGTGTGCTGTATGATTGTGCTGTGCGATGTACATGTATATGTCGATGTCTGCAACAGTTGAATTCACACTGTGTGTTAGCCCAACTAGGGTGTGTTCCCTCAGTAACAATTGAGGACCCTCATGTACTGCACCTGTTGTTGTGTTTGGGGGGGGAGGTATCTCATATGTATCTCTTGAGCTTTGCAAGCAGTTTAAGGCTTAGGCATTAGCAGTAAGCTGTTCGAATTGAACATAAATGAACAAAGAAAATGCAGGCAATCCACACACTGTTCAGACATGAACATGCATGCATTGTTAAACTGCCAAGTTGGGTGTTCATTAATTAACTGTAACAAAAGACATAGCAAAGTGTTACCATGGCAACCCATAGCTCAAACATTGTTTTACCAGTGATGCATACTAGTTTGTACAATGCACATTCAATTTCTTTTCTGTTAAAAAGTCATCCCCCTCACTGAAACAGCCGTTGGTGTTAATGAAACTCCTATACAATAAGATGGCGGATGGGGCAAGACTAGAGCGGCAGGTGTTATCTTCTAATGAGGCTGTTACATCCACTCCCCACTGACAAGCATGAGATCTGCACTGGTAGTCATCATTGAAATCTTCCCCTCTCATCAAGGGGCTCCACTGAATTCTGCTGAACAATATTTAGATTGACACACAGCCCAGATGCAGAGCTAG